TCAAAAAGTAAAAACAAAATTTCAAACCTATAAGCATGCCAATATTTGAAGGATTCTTATCTTCACTTCACCCCTTTAAAAAAACAAAAGCAAATAAAAAAGAAAAATTCATTTTGGACCACACGATATCAAAAACTGTAACTAACCTTCACTCCAGAGTTCCCATGCAGCATAAGAAACTCATGGATAGCAATGTGGTGGATCATTGAAAGCACACAAACATTCAAAATAAACAGGAGGAAGGCAACTCTGGCCTTTTCTCACTTCCAAAATGTAACACATATCTCTCCCTAATTTGTAATTAAGTTCACAATATGTATACCTGTGTGTTCAATGGAAGAAATACACCTATAAATCCTCAAATTTAGGCCCAAAATCTATAATAAACATAAACTAAGAGGAAAATCTGAAAACAGAAGCAGTGATATATTTGTTCCAAATGTTGAATACCAGGTTCTAAATCATAATTGCAAACATATGACACTGCTTCTCATGAATATATTCTATATTAAGTCCTAAACTCATTGTATCTCCATTAATACCTTGCTGACCAGTCACGATGTAAGTCGTGTCTGCACTTACATTAACTTAAGTAATTTTAAACACCTTGCTGACCAAAGTAGCTGGCTGTATGTATGGGTGAATTCTGGCTTGAAATAGCTGGTTAGCAAGGTTAATATTTGTTGGCATGCAAAATCTTAAATATTCTGTCCAAAGAAATTTAATGACATTTTAAACTCAATATTAAAAACAGAAAATTTCTTACTAAGGTCATCCTGAAAAATCTGAGGGTTAAAGGATTATGGAATGTTTAATATTTTTTCAAATGAAGACAAGTTGCCTTTAAGTGAAAAATAAATTCTCTTAGCAGAATTCCAATCTGAAAACTCTAGAAAGCAACCAAAGTCAGTCTTTGGATAGAACAAAATTACTATTTTGCAAATTTCACCAGACTATACTAGTGCCCTCATAAATTATAAACACATCAAATGCTTAGGTTAGACTACTAATATAAACAAAGCTGTTTAAAGTAAAATTAATCTTTAAAAGTTATATATTTTATCATTCTATCAGGTAATTCAGTAATGGGAAAAAATACAGTACTTTTTTAAAAAAATTTATTGATTTTCAGAGAGAGAGGAAGGAGAGGGAGAGAGAAACATGGATGTGAGTGAGACATCTATCAGCTGCCTTCTGCATGCCCCATATTGGGAATTGAGCCCACAACCTGGGCATGTTGTGCCCTTACAGGGAATTGAACCGGCAACCTTTTGGTGCACAGGACCACACCAGTCAGGGCAAAAATACAATACTTTTAATGAGAGGAATTAGGTTTGTTATTTGAAGGACTATTGCATAAAAGAGAAATGCAAATTAGTCAGAAATACTCTCAATGTGATTTATTTCTCCCAATTCAAGTAATAAAATTAAGAAATAGAGAATACTTTAAAAAATAAAAATTTCGAAGGTAAATCTGTGATTATTTCAAATATCTAAATCACTTTCTGTTCCTAATGACTATCATATATATATATATATGATATATATATCATATATATATTTTTTTAATATCTTATTTTATTTTCTCTCCCTGTTTTCCCCCACTGATCCCCTCCACCCCACTTCCAGGTCTTACCAATACCAATACCAATACCAATACCAATACCAATACCAATACCAATACCAATACCAACACCAATACCATCTGTGTCCATGGGCTATGCTTATAAACATGTAATTTCTTTGATTGATCTCTCCCCATTCCTACCTTCCCTCTGAGATCCCTCTGTCATATATTTTTTAAATTAATACACTTTAATTTTTTTTTAAGCACTGTTAGGTTTACAGAAAAATTGAGTGGCAAGTACAAAGAGCTCTAATATATTTTCTCTCCACCCTCCCCCAAACACCAGTTTCCCTAAATATTAACATCTTGCATTAATCAGCATGGTACATTTGCTACAACTGATGAGTCAGTACTGATAGCTTATACTAGGGATCACTTTTTGTGTTGTGCATTCTATGAGTTTTGAACAAATGTATAACGACATGTATGCACCATTCAGTATCATACTTCACTGCTCTAAAAAGCCTCTATGCTTCCCAACTATTCATCCCTCCTCCTTGCCCTGCTACCCTCTCCTCCTTAACCAGTGACCTTTTTACAGTCTCCTTAGCTTTTCCTCTTTCAGAATGTCATATAGTTGAAATCTTTGTAGCCATTTCAGATTGGCTTCTTTCACTTAGCCATATGCATTTGGGGCTCCTCCATATTTTTTCATGGTCTAATACCTCATTTCTTCATATCACTAAATAATACTGTGTGTGTGGATGCACCACAGTTAATCTAGTCAACTACTAAAGAACATCTTGGTGCTTCCAAGTTTGGGCAATTATGAATAAAGTTGCTACAAATATTTGTGTGCACATATGTCTTCATGTTATCTGGATAATTATCAGGGATGGTTGGAGCCTATGGTAAGAATATGTTTAGTTTTTTAAAAAACTACCAAACTGTCTTCTAAAGTGACTGAGCCATTTTGCATTCCCACCAGCACTGAGAGTTACTGTTGCTCCACAACCTTATCAGCACTTGGTGTTGTCAGTGTTTTGGGTTTTAGCCGTTCTGATAGGCATGTGGTGGTATTTCATTGTTTTAAGGGTAATTTAAAATCCTACAGATCAAACCTACAGATGTATCTGCTGATATGTACAAAGTATATAACTAAACATACCTGTATTATGTACCATTTTTGATAGCACAAAATTGGAAATGAACTCAATGTCCATCTTCAGGATACGGGTTAAATTATGGTACTTTCATTTAATGAAATCTGATGTAAGAAATTCAGCAGTTGCTGATATGCAATAATCTTTAAAATATATCATTATAGCTTGACTTCATCTCCTAGCACTCTCCTTTTCCTTTCTTACCCCACACTCCAGCCACTATGGCCCCCTATTCTTTCTTCCTCAAATACCCAAGCACACTCCTGTTCCAGGGCTTTTATACTTTTCCTTCTGCTTGAATACTCTTTCCTCTAGGTATCTGCTCTCACTTTATTCCGGTCTCTGGTCTTAAATCATATGATTAGATAGGCTTCACTGACTTCTCTGTCTAAAACAGTCCCATTTCCACATCCTATACTCTCTTGTCCCTTATCCTACTTTACTTCATAGCACTTACTACTTCCTGACAAGTTTACTGGTTTATCTATTTATTATATGTCTCCCCCAACACTACAATTGTCAGCTTCAGTGTAATTTACTGGCTTTGTTCCTACCTATAGCCTCAAAGCTCAGAATAGTGCTTCCGTAATGAGTATTTAAAAATATTTTTCATTTGAATGTCTAAAATGCCATGGTTCACAACAGTGTGTATTTTATGCTATATACACAGGCTATATGTATAAAGTATCTTTAGAAGCATGCTTAAGAAGTGAAAATAGTGGTTGTCTCTAATGAGGTGAACTGGGAGGGTCAGGAGTAGCGATGAGGGAAAGACTTACTAGAATGTATATACTTTATCACAGTTTGACGTTTTAACTAAGTTCATTAAGAACACAAAATATTAATTTTAAAAATTTAAGAAAATATATATTCATATGTTCAAAGAATATCCTAGTGTAATTTGCTGCTTCTTTTAATATTCTCTACCTTTAGCAGGTATCTTTTTAAATAAAAATTTTAATGCTTTAACTTTTTATTTGATAGGTTTGTTCAATGAACAACCCAGACAAAATTGTTTTAACACAGATATTAGAGTCAGATATGATTTAAAGATGAATATTTTACTCTTTATGTGCTTTTTAAAAATTAGAAATATACCAATATGTTAACAATTACTTATTAGACAGCTAAAGAGTCTTTACATTTAAACTTTTACTTTCCATACTAAGCATAAATTACTTCAAAAAAATATAAAGAACTTTAAAGAGATGCAAGTAAGATTTAAAAGACCATGATTTTTAAGTCTTTTAAATCTTTTAATTTAAATCTATTCTCGTTCTAGTTTTGTTTCTTCATTTAGAATGTAATTCTTAACACTTTAGAACCCATCATTTTATAGGTGGTATATCCTTACAACAATGGTTTTAAATTTCTTTTAAATTAATCATGTTTTTCATTGATTACCATTATAGATACATTCCTACAGAAAATTCTCCTTCCATAGAATCATAGATTGTAAAGCCTGAAGTAATTTCAAGCAATTTTGTTTTAGGCACTACACAGACAAGGTAAATAAAGTCTAGAAAGTTCAGTAAATTGTCCAAGGCTACCTAGCTATTTAGTAATGAAAGAGAGTGAAGAAAGAGATTAGGGCAAAACCCGTTTGCTTTTCATTATATAGCACTCTTTCTATTACAATTCAAACCAAGTTAAAATCTCTGAGAGGAAAAAGGAACAAAATGACAGCTAAGTCCACAGTATGCTGAGTGATCTTATATCCGGAAATTCTTCCCATCACTGTTTCTTTGTTGCTATTCCCAAGATTACAGAAATTTCTTCCATGTCTGTTAAAAGCAGCAAGGAACCTAGCAACAGACTCCACCTTGGATTCAGCTCTCTATAAGTAGAGAGCATGTATTTTTTGCTGGAATTCTGTGAAGCCAATCTAAATACATAATTGTAGCACTGAAAATTTTCCGTGTTTGTGAGTATATTCACTTAGTAGAAACTATACCAGTTAATTCATGAGTTCTGGAAAGTGAATCAGTTCAACTTCAACTCTGTAAAATAACAGTTTAGAATTATTGATATCTACAGTAAAATAAACTGCATAAAAACAATAATGTAAGATAAATCTTAATACCATAAAGGAATAACATAGCATGTCATTGGACTCTAAGTACTACTGGGGGGAAAAAAGGTTTTGCTATAAAAGTGTTTTATTTAACAATAAAAATGAACTGATAAGAAAACTGCATTTAGATACATTGTTACTAAGGACTAAAAATGGATTGCCCTATACAATTCTCATGATTTTAAAGAGTACATACCAACAGTTTTTTGCCGTACTATACTCCTTGCCTTTTCAGTTCCTGGGGAACCAGTGGTTGTTGCACTTCTCTGTCTCATTGGGGCTTGGCCAGGCTGATCACGACTCCATCCTCTAGAAAATGACTTGTCAACTGAAACTTTCTGAAATTCATGTCCAACTCCTAGAAATGTAGATTTGCAATCTTAATATATATGATCAACAATCTTTTCAAATTATGTGTGCTACCTTACCTCAGATTCCTGGATTTATTCATAATGTATTATAAAGTAACAAGATCAAATGCTTATGTACTGGAAGGCTTTATTGAACTTCATTTTATGTAAAAATCATATTCCAAAACGGATACAGTGTTTTTAGAATACACCATTGACAATAAACTATTATAAATCCTCTGCCACCCACTTGATTCATAACAGAAATGAAACATTTGGGCAAGCAAAAAGAACAGGAAATGAGCTAACCAAAAGCCATCCTAAGGTGGAAGTTACTAATCTCTACCTGCTAATAATAGCTACTTGGGAAATCGTTCAGGAAAAAGTGGGTTGGTTGTATACTTACCATACTGGACCAGTGTTAAGTGTGAAATGTGACTCAGATATAATCTCTAGGTAGCAACTATTAAGAGTGGAAAGTACTAACAGACCAAGGATCATAAAACATGTATTAGTGATGTAATCACTGTTGCTGTCCTTCTGTCCGTTTTTAACATTAGACAGTTACACAGTCCCCATCTAGAGTATGCTTGCTTTTGGTTAAAACTAAGAAAATGTTTTCAAAAGAACTTTCAAATAATTATTTTTAAATAAAGTAACATATAAAATCGTCTAAGTTCTAACAAAAAATTATGTATGATAAAAGAAAGAGTGCTTTATAAGTTTCCATTTTGGCTAATTATTAAAAATAAAATATTTAAGGTTCTGAATCATTTAACTATAGCTATAGCTAGATATGTACAGAATACTTTGTCTCACATCAAAATTACTATTGATCTTAAGGTTCTTAAACCTTCAGAGTAAATGAAGGAGGGAATAATGAAGAGAAAACATGACTTTTAACCTCAGCCCTCTCCCTGGCTTGATCTTCCAAGGTCAAATTATTTAAACAAATTTATATGGAGCATCTCTATGAAAAACTCTTACCTTTCCCTTTGTGCTTCTTTTGCTTCTGTTCACTCAGCTTATCCAAAGGTAAATCACTGAGATCCAAACTATATAAATTTCTAGCTAAAACTTTAGTTAGTGTCTCCATAGTCAGTGACCACTCAGTGGCTAACTCTTCCCAATAGGTCAATGATGACAAGACTGAGAGTAGGTCATCCCAAAGTTCTCGGGAAATGTACACATTTAGATTTGCTTTGATCCAGGCAACTATAAGAGTCTACAAGGACAAATAATCAGAAACAACAATGAAATATATTCAAAATCAGATATTCAATTATTTAAAAATTACCAAAAAACAAGCAGAATAATATCCATGACCTTTTCTTGGTACATAGTAATTCATGCAATCATTAGTATCTACTATAAAGTTTCAGTTCAACAATTGCCAAGTCTCAACATTCTACCAATTAAGACAAGGTACCAAAACTGAAAAGAAATCTCCTTAAAGTTGTAACTATCCTTCATACTCTTTTACATTAATATTAAATAAATGCTTTTTATAAAGATATAAAGTCTTCTCACACTATTAACCGTTGAAATTACTTAGTTAATGGTTACTGAACTAAAAGAAACCCTACATTCTCCAATTAAAGATAGAAATAACTAACTATATAACTTGAACATATTAAAAATACATATTAGAGATGTACTTAGTAAAATGTGTTTTTGAAAAATTATATGTAAACTGAAGAATAAAATTAAATTTCATTGTAAAGAAACCAGAGGAATTAATGGTTTTCTGAAATAAATCCAATCTCAGAATAAAAAATTTATTCGTGAAAGGATAAATATTAGTGATTACCCAGTACCTGAGACTGAAGATATATCCTGCTATTGAAGAAATAAGTCACAAAATAGTTTTTCAAAAGCTGAACTCTAAAAATTTTATTAAGAAATCACATAAATTTACACATTAAGTGTAAAGATGAAAATGAGCAGAGTTTACAGTATAGAATATTAATAACTAGTGACCATCTCCATTCTATCTTTAAATGTTTAGACTACAAAAAAGTTATTCCACATAGCAAGGTAAAATTTTGTCTTCCTATAGCTTCCACCATTGGGTTAGTTCTAACAATGGGGAAATTTTAAAAAAAGGGGAGAGAGAGAAGGAGAGAAGGAGAGAAAGAGAGACAGAGAGACAGAGACAGAGAGAGAGAGAAAAAGCTAATGAAGTTAAGATAATAATTAGAGCTGGTTTCAAAGGATTATTCATGAGCAGCCTAGAATTTCAGGTAAACTAGTATATTTGAAAATAAATTCATTTGAATGGTTATACTTATGGTCAAGAATTAGATCTCAGATTTTGACACTAAGAATTATTTTTATCCATGTATTTGTATTTAATGTGTCATATTAAGAAAATATGTTGCTTTCTATTTTCTGAAGAATTCATAATACATTTAAAGTCAGTATTTTATCTACAGGTTGGAAAACATGATGCATAAATTCCTATATAATCAAATTACTACTGATATGTCAAATATAAAGAAGTGAAGAGAATAAAGTCTTATGGAACAGCGTAAGCAAAAATCTTGATCATTTACTACTTTTCATTACCATGCAACATAAAAGACTGTGGAACAACATTAAAGAAAGTTTTGGCTCTCCAACAGTACCAGAGACTTGGAAACTCATAAAGCAAACAATCAGGCTACTACTCATGAAGCCCTCTGGCAGCTTTTTGCAATTATACAAGTAGCTACACAAAAGATAAAAGAAATAGCCTGTGTTAACACTTTTTTCTCAGACCTGATATTTCCTCCACTTTTATAATAGGTTGTGTATTTGTACATATGGCAAACAGCTGATTTAAAAAAGCAATTTTTAATTTAGCTCTACAAGAGATACTTTAATATAAAATGATCTTTGATTTAAAGTTTTTTTCCTCAGGTAACAAATACAGGGCTCAATAAATCTTTTAAAAATACATATCTATCCGTCTAGTCAATGATCTATTTATTTGTTTATTTATTTATTTATTTTTATTGCCTGGAAAAGTGGTCCTGCAAGTCGACCTGCCAAGGTCATATTTTTTTTCCCCTGGAACTGCAGAAAAGCTTGTGATGGCATCTTCAGCACAGACTCCGTGACTCTGAGCAACACAAGCAGCATCTGTTCCCTTAAAAGTAAAAAAATTAATTAATGTTTCCTGCTTGCATATGTTTGATTTTGGTTAATGAGTAACTTTCAAATTAGTATTTGTTATAAAATGGTATTATCTTTCAATAACTCAAATAGCAAGTATCTTTCAAATTTTTAGAACTCTTTAAATATTACATTTTTAAATTCTACTTTATAAATCTGTATCATTTAAAAACAATTTTTCAGTGATAATATCCTCTCATCAAATAAAAATTTACGCAAAAGCTGAAAAATTGGAGTGAAAATGCTGAGGATGCTCCCATCCTTCACCCCACAAATCAAGTAATGACCTTAGGAATAGGTTTGAAGAACACTCACCCAACTACACAATATTGTTCTACCTTGATCCATCTTAGCAACATGGAGAACAATCACTTATTTAGAATTGAATCAGGTTCAATTTCAAAAACTACATGATTTAATCAATGTCACCCCAATAAACTCAAGTTAAAAAAACACTACATGATATTTTAAGATTAATAGATCACAATGAGCCTGACAAGTAATCAAGAACCATTACTCTATTGCCTCTTTCCATCTTTTTAGTTTGGCCATTTTTTACTCCCTTAATGTTCTTTGTGTACTGCAAACCAAGCCAATCCTAATATTACCCTTACCTTGCCTCTTTCTCCCAGATGTTTTTTATTAAAACCATAAAACTACCATATTTGCACCAAATAATTCAACTGTATGTGAAAAAGAGGCTGATGAGGGGATTACAGTTGGGCGTATAACCAGGCTAACAGCCCAAGTTCCTATCACAGCCCCTCCTCTTTGGCTTATTTGCCAGCCCATTCCAGGTATAGCAACACGTGGAACAATCCAAGTGAGAAATACAGCAGAGAGAGTAATAGATGCCGTGTTTAGATGTCATGATTTTTCTGGGAAGTGAGGACAAAATCAAATGGAAAAGAAAAATATCCTGAATTTATTAACAAACGCATGCATTCACTCATAAAATAAAAATCAAAGGTGTCACATTTGTAGTCCTAGGCTTCTAGCTTAGCTATATGAAATAAAAAGCTATCTGAAATCAACTACATATGTAATAAAGTACAGATTTCCAAATATATCTTATCTGGTTTGTGGTCAAACCTTAACTTGCTAACATATCAGATAACCTTTCACTTTATAATACAATAAAAATGATTTTAATTCATAGTCTTGTAAACTCAATAAAAATATGTGGTAATCTCTCATTATGTTATAACTTCAAGGGAATTTATAAAAATTAAGAAAAAAATTCTAGCCTGGTCAGTGTGGCTCAGCAGTTGAGCATCGACCTACAATCCAGGAGATCAAGATTCAAATCCCAGTCAGGGCACATGCCTGGGTTCGGGGCTTGATCCCCAGTCAGGGGGCATGCAGGAGGCAGCTGATCAATGACTCTCCCATCATTGATGATTTTATCTTTCTCTCTCTCTCTCCCTTCCTCTCTCTGAAATCAATAAAAACATATTTAAAAAAGAAAAACTTCTAAAATTGTATTCCCACATAGCAAGACTCACTTTAACCTGGATCCACAGCATTGATTCAAAGCATATAAAAAGTAAAAAAGGGCAGGCTAACAAAAGAATTATTCAAAGTAGTATAGTTATGGGCTAATAATAACTAGGGCTCTGAAGTCAGAAGGACCACAGTTCAAATCTCAGCTGTGTGAACAAGGATAAGTTACTTAATCTCTTATACCTAAGAATCATAAAGTAGAGATATTATCAACCTCATAGGGTGCTACCAAGGATTAAGTAAGAAAATACATGTAAAGTGCTTGAGAAAATGCCTGGCACAAAAAAGTGTTCCAAAGAAGTTAATAACAATAACTACTTCTAGATGTAATTATATTGATACTATTAATAAAGATTTTTTTCAAAATAAAGCCATTATTCCACATATAGCAAAATATAAATTAAGCATGCTCTTTGACTAAGTACTTCCATTCTTTAAGCATGAGTCAAAGGAGAAAAATTTTATGTATAAGGATGTTCACTGTCCTCCCCTCCTCCAATAACAAAATGAAATAACTACATATCCATCAATAGGTGACTGGTTAAGAAAATTATGGCACACACATATGGAATAATACTATGTAACTATGTGTGTGGTCTGGTGAGAGAACTTTTGGCCATCTCTTATTTTCTTTTTAAAACTTTTGTTTGAATTTCATAATGAACATGTGTCATTTTAATAAGAACTGAAGAACAGTTCTTCTCATCTCCCCAAAAGGCCTATTTTTTTCCATTCAATTAAACAAATCTTTAAAGAGTATCAATACTATATAAGGTACTATGCTAAGATATGTGGGAAATATAGAAGCAAATCAATCAGTATATAACTTTTAGGGCCTCTCATATCAGTGAGGTAAACAGAAATTTATACAAGTAATTTAGGGATTAAGACAATTTTGACAACTATAACAGAGGAACAAGTACAGAATTAAAGGAAGTAAGGAAAAAAATACAAGGGTATGTGGAAAAAGGAAGGTGAAGCCTAAATACAGTTATGGTGACAACAGGAAAAGATGGCAGGAATTAGAAATTGTAAAGAAAAGTTCAGATGTGCTCAGGAAACAGCAATTTGATAAAGCCAGGAGGCAGAATTCCATCCTGCAAGGAGTTTAGGCTTCAGGTAGGGCTAGAAAGCAAGCAAGGGCCTGACTGTATATGGCCTTAAATCCCAGGATGAGGAATCAGGCATTCATATATTCAATCATCACTTATTCATTGACACATGCATACATGAATTCGTTTCTGGGGAAGCAGGAAGCCATGATATCCTCACTTTCAAAAGATAAGCCAAGGGGTCTTAAGGCAGTTTAATCAAAGATGTTGAGATAAAGTGAAGGAGACGACTGTTGTCACCATAATAATTATAGAAAATATATTCATTTATTCAATAATAGAAGCCTCTACAACGTTTTTAACGAGCCGTTAACAGACACTATTCCTCTAAAAATTACTGTACTCATACACGCAATATAAAAAACATAAAGAATAAATATTTTTACCAAGTCTTTTTGTCCATTGATACTTGCACAACCATGAACCGATAAATGTTAAGAATTCGTTTACACATATCTGTGTGCTCATCCAGAAGACTTTTTATTTCATTTGCAGGTTCAAGAAGAAATATATTTGATGAGTTTATAATAAACACCTAAGACAAAAGAAACCATTACCCATTCATTATAGAATTTCAAAGGCAAATTTCTTATTCAAAGAAAAAAATCCTTAGATGCTGACTACTGTGTAATCAATAATGAACTTAAAAGCACAAGACCATAGGTTAATTATATATAACTCTACTTCTACCACCAGCTTGATACCTGAAATTTAAACTCATTAAATCTGTGTATTTTATGTTTATCTAGACAAATATAAAATTACTATTAGGCATGCCCCCCAATAAGTAAAAAACAGCATTTTTTTAAAAACTGAGAGCTTTAATATAATAACCCTATTGCTGTCATAAAAGGAACAATAAAGAAAATACAAATAGTTTAGAATAAAAATGATACCTAAATCAAGGATTTTCTGGATGAGGTGTTCAAAACCATCTTTCTTCTTTTTACATGTTTATTGGCTATATCTCTATATCTCTTTTGGTAATAACAGGCTGCATAAACAGACTGTATATTATAGTACTACTAATGAGGATCTATCAATATGTATATTTAATTAAATTCATTACAATCAAATAATTAATTGTATTTTGTTATTGAGGACAAAATTATAATGGTGACAGGTATGTGCAAAGGCACTCAAGGACACTTTGCAAAAGAGAACATTACATTCATTGTAAACCTGGGACATTTATATCTTCTGTATTCATAGTTCTGATTTAAATCCCTGGATGAACTATGTAACAAAATATAGTTGTAAAATCATGTGAGAAAAGCATATTAAGCTAACTTTAAAATAGTTAAAATAGAAAAAAGCTGACTCTGTAAGTTTAGCAACACTGACCAAGAACAGCAAGAGAGGCACAAATAAACATTAGAAATAAAATAAAAACACAACTATGTATCCAGTAGAGAATTTTAAAATGAGTGTTGGATGGATAATTTATGTTAATACATGTACTTGAAAATTTAATAAAGTAATTTTTTTAAATATTTATTTTTAGAGAGAGGGGAAGTGAGAGAAAAAGAGAGAAACATCAGTTGGTTGCCTCCTGTACTCACCCCAATGGGGGACTGAACCCACAACCTAGTTATGTGCGTGCCCTAACCGGGAATCAAACCAGCAACCTTTTGGTATATGGGATGATGCTCAGCCAACTGAGTCACACAAGCCAGGGCAAAATAAATTATTTTGTAGACAAACATAAATTGCCAAAACTGACTCAAGAAGAAACAGAAAAGATGTATGTATCAAAACCATGAAAGAAAGTGAACTGGTAATCAAGGTCTTCCGGATCCATCCCTACACACCAGGCCTAGTTTTGCCTAACCTTTATGGAGGATGATCCCTATTTTACACAAGCTGTTTGAGAGACAAAGATGAAAGAAAACTACCCAATTTATTTTTATAAAACTATAATTCTATTATCAAAACAAACAAGGACTATATAAGAAAAGTAAATTGGAGACCAATATCACTTATGAACCTAATGCCAAAAATCTTGAAAAAATAGTGGTAATTCAAATTGAGCAAAATATAATAATTTATGACAAAGTGGTATTTACCCCAGAAATGTTAGGATGTCTTGATATCAGAAAAGTCTATTAATATACTCCAGCAACAGATTAAAGTGGAAAAAAAAGTATGATCATCACAATGTATGCAGAAAAAGCATTCAGCACTTATTCATCAATAAAAATACTTTAGCAAACTAAGAAGAAATATATAATTTCTTAATTTGAGAAAGAGCATTTATCAAAAACTATAACAAATGCTATAACAGCAATTAAACCTGAGAAGTACCAACGAAAGCCAAAAACAAGACAAGGATATTCAATATTACTTCACTGTCCTCAAGGATACTACTCATTTTTTTTTTTTTTAATATATCTTTATTGACTTCAGAGAGAGGAAAGGAGAGGGGGAGAGAGAGATAGAAACATCAATGATAAGAGTGTCATTGATCGGCTGCCTCCTGCATGCCCCTGACTGGGGATCGAGCCCGCAACCCGGGCATGTGCCCTGACTGGGAATTGAACCCCGATCATCTGGATCCTAGGTCGACACTCAACCGCTGAGCCACGCCTGGCCAGGCAGGATACTACTCATTCAAAACGGACTGGCTGGAGGGGTAAGGGGGGGAAGTAGAGAATGAATATAAATATAAATGAATCAAAAAGGAAAAGACAAAACTGAACTTGAACTTTGTAGCAATCTGGGAGAAAAGCATTCCAGACAAAAAAAGATGCAGGTTTAAGGCAACTGAAGTAAAAGCCTGTCTAGCATATAAGAGAAACAACAAGGAGCATAGAATGAGGTGAGGAAGGAGAAAAAGCAGTGGGAGATACGTTAAGAAAAGAGACAGAGCATGTGAAAGTTTCTCACACTACCAGTGGTAAAAGAACAAATTTCTTCTCCCAATCTTTAGCAGAAAAATCCTATTGTAAAGTATGATTAAAAAAGAACTAATAGGAAAAAGGAAATTCCAAAAGACATACAAACCCAAACTTTCATTAGAATGGATATATTCAATGACTCGGTTTCTAAACTTACCCTCAATTTTAAAATTATGTTGTGGGACAGCACTAGTCAGTCTATGGATTACACTCTGAGGAACAATGATGTAAATAAAGCTTTACAGACCATTAGAAAGACTTTTGCTTCAATACTTAATGATAAACTTACAGGAAGGTTTTAAGCAGAAAAATGACAGGATCTGACTTTTGTTTTACAGGATCACTCCGGCTACTATTTTGATAATATTATTAGGGTGATGGATGGGCAAGAGTAGAAATAAAAATACTAATTAGGAGTCTACTGCAGTAATCCAGATGAAAGATTATGGAGGCTTGGACACAAGAGGTAGTGTGAGTGCTCAATCCTAGACCAATTCTGCATACATTCTGAAGACTCAGGATTTGTTGTCAAATCGGATGTAAAATATCAAAGAAAGAAACAAAATGGCCTGAGCAACCAGAAAACAGAGCTGCCATTAAATGAAACAAGGAAAAGTACATTTGTTGAGTAATATGAGATATATATATTATAAAGTGAAAGTTAAGGAAAAAACAAAATATGACATAATAACTGATAAAAGTAGGTGGCAAATTTATTACATTTAGAAAATTATATTCTACATTGAAATATTGAACTATGTTAAAAATATTTAAAGATTGTTTTTCAAAATCAAGCATGATCCACCTGCAAAACTGCCTGGGTACCAGCCCGTATGTTTTGTTCTGTGGCTTCTTCAGAGGCATTATGAAGAACATCTTGGTAGGTGCCGTTTTTTGCCCAAGTGGAATTTCGAACATGATCAGCAATATTGGTCCCATTTTCCTGAAGCAAAATACCACGTTTTTAATATTTCATTAATTAAGAGTGCTATGACAGTCAATAAGTTGAAGTAAACTGGAAATTATTGGAACCCACTGCTAAGCATCTTCTCAGAAAAGATGTCTTATTTGATTACAAAAGCTATGTATGTTCACTATATTAAAAAAGGTTCTCATTCACAAAAATAAAAAGTAAAAACTTATCTGTAGGTACAGCCAGAGATTATTATATCATTTCAGATATAGAGACATATTTCTATGTGCTTAATGTATAAACCTCCCCTCAAGAAGGAGATTATATTATTTACAGCCTTGTAAGAGATGAATTTTGTTCTAAAGTAAATGCCAGAATCTAAATAAATAAAATAGGAAAATGCTTCTATTTATCCTACTTAATACTAATAAAATTCCTCCTATCCAAAGATACACTACTGGTACTTGAAACCACTAAAACTGCAACTTTCTGCTTGAGTTTTAGCTGTCAGAAGTCTTGCACACTAGGGATTTCCCTCAGGGGAAAAGCCACACAAACAGAAATTTCACTCAATGTTGTTCCCTTTCTTAAAGCGACTCTCTAGTTTCTTTCAGTTTTTGGTCACTCACTAGTATCTTCAAATAGTTTTCAAAAAAAAACTTTTTTTCTAGAGCTTATAATTGTAAAATGCAGGAGGTTTAGTATAATACAAACTACTCTACCATTGCCAGGAGCAGCACTGAACTCAGCTCTGAGTGGCCAAAACAGAATACCATGGTCTAGTCTATACTTTTCTACTAAGCTCCATACTCCTATCATCAGGCAATGTCTAAATAGTTCTCCCTGAATGACCCACAAGCACCTCAAACTCAAAATGTTTAAAAGTAAGTTTATTAACTATGTCTCCCCAGCCCCCTACTTCCTACCAACCTCTCCAGCTACCTTGACCACCACCACCAAACTTGCTCTTTTAAATTCCTATTCCAGTATGAATGGCAACGACCCAAAGAAAGACTTGGGACACCTCCCCATTTCTCTCAGCCAATTTAGTCATTGAAGCATATTGATTTTACCACCAAAGCAGCTCATATATTAGTCTTCTCCCTTATATTCCCATTGCAACTGCCAACGTCCCATCTCTATCAAGTACTTAGCATCTTCCTTCCGAACTGTGCTAATACCTCCCTAACTAGTCTCTTTGCCTCCAGAATGGTGTCCAATCTATCTTCGACCCCGGACTTGCTATAATCCTCCTGAAATATGTAATTATCCACGCCATTCTTCTACTCATAACCTTCGAAGGCTTTCCAGTGTCTAGAATGTAATCGAAGTCCATTAGAATGGCATACAAGTCATTTAACAGTCTAGTTCTTGCCTGTCTCATATTTCCTATTATTCTCCCCTACCTGCTCTTAGCTATAGCCAATTGAAAATATTTTTAAGGTCTCTCACATTTTTGTAGATTCCACTCACATCGTGTGGTTCCTTTCCCATTTGTTACCTGCTCCTCACATTATAGTACCTCCTCCATGAAGCCTTCCCTAAGCAGTTAGATAGTCCCTCTTTCACACTTTATATCATAGCAATAATACTGTTTTATACTTTTTACTTTGTATATTTGTCTTCTTGCTAAACCATCAGTTATGTGAAGACAGAAATGATGTCTTTTCATGCTTATATCTCCAACACTGGTTCTCAATGTGGGTATTACTGTGTTTTACAGAGCACGTTGAAATCTGTGGAGTGTTTTGTTGCCACAAAAATAGAGAATACCACTGAGATTTTTTTCATTTTATTTTTTAATTTTTTAAAATTATGCACCCTTATGTTCATTGCAGCATTAACCACTGAGATTTTTAATGGAATGATCCAGGGAATATTAAACATACTACAAGGTGCCTGATAATCTGCACATACACAAACTCTCCTGTATCTAGCATGTCTTACAAATGTCTCACATACACTACGTGAATAAAAAACCTATTTATTTAAAAAAAAATTTATAAAAATTATCTGAATTTATAACTTAACACTATTTTATAATTAATGCCTAATTTTAAAGGATCTTTTAATATATTGAATTTCTCAGAAATATAAATCAATAAATGATTCTCTTTTGTTTTTGGTTCATGCCATTAGCAAGAGTTGCTGGCATTTTAAAAAAATCATCTCTCTAATGGCAACACGGGTTGCAGTATTTGAGCAAGCAGAACACACCTATACCACACACCTACATCACTCTGCATTTGTCGCTTCACACTTTCCCACCTCCTTCCTCCCTCCCTCTTTCAACCGTCTGTTTTTTAATTATGTATGTAAATAGATATTATGTCATTTTTATTTAAGGATAGTAAATTACACAGGGTAGGTTTAGTATTAAGCTATAAATTCATGACAAAAAATTGGGGGAAAACAAATTGTTTAGATTGATAGGGTTATCTTCTAACTTGATGCAAAAATTGGATATTTTTGTTGGTATACAACAAATAGAACTGCAAATATTATTTTATAATTTACATGGTTAATTTTATCTATTTCAATTATATTAGTTACATTCTCTTCCTTCTTAGACACAGGAGAGGATGCTCTATAAATATATATATCACAAATAGACATATAAATGTTGATTCACTGAATCCCTGTAGAATGTGGCCCATTCATTCATAAGTTAATATTCTGACAAATTTCATTGATAATATTAAATGAATCACCAAGATGAATAAACATTACCAAATTGCTCCTATCTGGATTTAGTAAGATACATGCCAATATCAGACTCTCATTTTGGTGAGAGCCTGACCTATGACAACGGTTAAATAACCAAGGGACAAAAATTCATTTAGGCTTAAGAAATAAAAGGAACCATGGACCAAATTCCAAACGGGACTCTTCTCTCTTTTTCCCACTGTGAGCAAACTCTAGTCATTCTTAACACAGACCAACTTATTTAGCACATCAATATGTTTTTTATTCTGCAATTAGCATTAATGCAAAATTTTTCAAAGAATTTAGAATATTCTGGTTTGGGCTGGGTACCCAATCCTAGAATAAGAGAGGTAAGAAGGAACTGTAGTTTGGTAATCACTCTAAGAAGTATGTACTACAACATCCATTTCAATCGACTACCACAGTTTTAAATACTACACCTTTTATAATAACACCTGATTCTGACCTAGACAATGACATAAAGATTCAGTATATAACCTCAATATTAATTTTTTAAAGTTGTGACATCAAAGAGCTTTGGCATAGGGTACTGAGGTAACTGTAATATTACTGAAATTATAAAATATACTAATGGTATCTTTACCTTCCCATTTAGTAAGTACATGTGTGCTAACATTACACTTTTGTGAAAATCTAATCTATTGAACGAATAATAAAATATGTAAGTCTTATCATTTTACCTCTTCTCTCTTTTCTCCTTCTTCCACTGAAATATCATGGTCTGTGACATTGTCAATGCAAGGTAAGTCAGAAGAAGAAATCACAATTTCTTCAGGCTCTTGCATGAACAAAGGTTTTTCCTCTTGCTGAATCCATTCTTGATATACTTTTACCACTTTTCTCATTGCTGCTGCTTCACAGATTGGTAATAAAAATGCCTAGTAAAAAAAAGAAGAGAACAGAAATAATGACACTTTTTAGATGCTTTTTACTTTGCTAAAACCCACTAATACATACATTTCTATCTTGTTATAAAATGAGATGGAAAACCACTTTTCTAAGTTAAAGTGAACCAATTCATTGTCAGAAAAAGCCTTTTGTCTCCAAATAATTTGTAAATACACTGAGATAGGAATGTTTTTGGTAGACAGACACTGGTTTCAAGTGCAAGGAGCAAAGATTTGTTTCAAATGTATTATCTGTCTCAGAATGAAAATATTTGTTCTATAAAAGAACTGTGGTCCTACAAAGCTCAATGTTAATGTAACTTTTCATATAAATCACATTTTGCAAGTTAAACTGTTCTTTTAGGTTACTATTAAAATAAATTTTATAAGATTTTAATTGAAAAATAAATATTAAATCTGACTCGGAGAATTAAAGTCACATGTAACAAGGCAACTGAGATTTTCTAAGCACATGAAAAAAAAATGTTACAGCTTTCTTATTTCTTTTTACATACAATAGTTATATGAGTTAAATAATAAGGCAAAATACTTAGAAAATTAAAAGAAATATTTTACAGTTATTCTTTCCTTTAGGTACTTCCCAGGTTGCCTTAACTTTTTAAAAAGTAAATATTTCCTCATCACAAAAATACCACATTTTCACATCAAAAGAAGTTGTTTAATACAATTCAGACATCAGCTATACAACTAATTATCTCAAGACTTGGCTTCTATAAATACATGTTATACCTCAGTTAGCAATGAGGAAGTGCCTGGCACTCAACAGTTACTGAACTTGATTCACTCAACAACTATTTAGTAGGTGCCTACTCTATGCCAGGCACGAAGGATACAATGATGAACGAACAACAGAATTATTCTCAAAATTAAACAAGTAACTTTTTAAATAATTGTAAAACTCAGGAGAGATACTATGAAAAAAAGTATAGTTTTTAAAAAAGTCATAAAAAAGAAGAGGTGGAGGAAAGGGTTGAGAAGAAAAAGAGGAAGGTTTAAGGACAAAAGTTCAGATAGGGAAACCAGTAATTGGGAAGGCTATGAGGATGAAATGATTTTAAAAATAAAAAGTAGTGCCCGACCAGCATGGCTCAGCAGTTGAGCATTGACTTATGATCTAGGAGGTCATGGTTCGATTCCCAGTCAGGGCACATGCCCAGGTTGTGGGCTCGATCCCCAGCAGGGGCCATGCAGGAGGCAGCCTATCAATGACTCTCATCATTGATGTTTCTATCTCTCTCTCCCCCTCTCCCTTCCTCTCTCTTTGAAATCAATAAAATATATATATTTAAATAAATAATAAAAATAAAAAGTAAAGGTTCAAGATGGTTGTGGTGAGGAGTATGCTGAACTCATACCCTCCCCCATGAGAAAATCAAATATACGTGTGTATAGGTATATGGGAAGCCCTTGGGAGCTGTAGGAACTCTCTGCCCAAGACTGGAGAAGCCGGTGAGCACCATTATTTATGCTCCGCTCCACTTTCATAGGGCAGGCAGATGCTCTATGCCTGTGCTTTGGACTACTTGCAAGATTCCCACAGCTCAGTTCACAGCTACACTGCTTGGAGCTTTTAGCCTCCAAACAAAGGAAGCAAGCAGAAACACCAAGGCATCACCATACCCACCTGGCCTTCCTGCTAAGAGCTGCTCAGCTCTTGCTGGCTAGTGCCTGGGACACCATAAGCATCTGTTGGGCTCTAAGCAGCTTCCCAAAACAACCCAACACTTGAAGCCTACATAGGTCTCTTCTACATGGGATCACTTTCATTATAACAAACGAGAAACTGCATAGAGAATAGAGATGTGGGAGCTCTCAAGGGACTGCAGGAATTCTCCAGGATCGGAGGGGCTGGTGAGCACCATTGTTTATGTCCCCCTCCACCTCCATACAGTGGGCTCTATCCAGGTGCTCTGGCCTACCTGCAAGGTCACTGCAGTGTGTTTTGGAACACACTGCCTGAACCCATTTGGGCTTGAACAAAGGGAGCAAGCAGGATCATAAGGGCAATACTACATGCACTGCGCCTCCCTACCCAGAGCTGCTCCCACTCAGCAGGCCAGTGCCCACAGAAATCTAAATCACCCACTTGGCTCCTACTGACCTGCCAAACCACACATAGTCTACACAGAGCCCACTTCTACTTAAGGCCAGTTTTTTAAGGCTGTCTAATTCATATAAACTAACACAGAAAGTCAAACAAAATGAAAAGGCAGAATCTCTCTTAAAACAAAGAACAAGGAAAAATCCCCAGGAAAAAGTCCTAAGGAAATGGAAATAATTGCCTAAAAAAGAATTCATAGGAATAGTCATAAGGATGCTCACCAAACATGACAGTGAAATAAAGGAATTAGAGAGAACTTCAAAAAAAAAAAAGTGTAAGAAAGAACCAAGCAGGCCTGAAGAATACAGTAACTAAAATAAAAAAACACATTGGGAAAAAATCAACAGCAGATTACGTAACACAAAAGAAGGAATCAGCAATGTGGAAGACAGACTAGTGGAAACCAATCATCAGAACACAGTAAGAAAAAAGAATTTTAAAAAATGAGGATAGTTTAATAATGTGGAAGTCACATATGGCCTTGACAAGAATAGTCTAATTTTAAAAATGAATGAATATAATGAACTCCTATAAATCAAAAGAAAAAGACAAACAACCCTACAGAATAATAACCAAAAAAAGCATATGCATAGGCAATTCAAAGATGAGAAAAGATGCTCAACTTCAGGTTGATGAAGAAAAAGCAAATTAAAACAGGGAAGCACAAACTTTAAAAAATGAGATAATTCACATACATAGGAGCAGAAAAATTTAAAATCTGACTATACAAGTAATGGCAAAGATATAAGGAAATGAGAACTCACAAACACTATCGGACGAAATGTCAATTATTATAACCATGTTGGAGAACAATTTGGCAATAATAGTAAAGCTAATGATGTACAAATTTTCCAACCCACAATTCTACTTCTAGGTTTACATCCTAGGGAAGTTCTTCCAGATGTGCAAAAAAAAATACATATATAAGAATGTTCAACATAGCACTTATCTGGAATAGTGAGAAATTGGAAACAAGTTAAAACACCATCAACATAAAAATAAATAAGATGTGAAATAATCATAAATTGCAGTGCCACAAAGTAGTTAAAATGAATGAATGACATATCAACAACAAATCTCAAAAACAATGGTTAATGCAAAAGGGAAGTTGCAGATGATAGTATACCATGACATAATTTATATAAATTTTTTAAATATCTGAAAAATACTATGTAATGTTTATTGAAACATATATTATAAAGTGAAAGTTAAAGGAAAAACAAAATTAATATGACATAATGATACCCAAAAAGGTTGGTGGCAAATTTATTACATTTAAAAATTATACTCTACACTGAAATACAGAACTTTGTTCAAAATATTTAATGATTATTTTATTTTTTGCACTGCTCTGTTTATAATTGTTAATATTAGATAAACAGTAGACAAATGCAGCAGCAAATCAATTGTATTAGCAGAATATTATCCTCACTGATGTGTAGGTTAGGTACAGATTCTAAACCTATAATCAAAAGTTTCTTTTCTTTGCTCCGAATAAAACTGAACTGTGAGTTCTCTACAGAAAGTGGCATTTTGGGCTTTCCCACTTTTTGTAGAGCCAAAAACAAATGAAAAGACCCAGAATAAAGACAGTTGACCTACAAAGCGATAAGAGTACAACCACTGTTTGACATCTCAACAGCAACAATGTAAAATAGAGAACAATAGGAAAATATACGAGTATCTGAAATGTGCTGGATGAAAGTGATTGTCAGCCCTGTCCCATGTGGCTCAGTTGGTTGGAACACTGTCCCATGCACCAAAGGGTTGCTGGTTTGATTCCCAGTCAGGATACATACCCAGGTTTCGGGTTTGATTCCTGGTCAGGGTACATAGAGGAGACAACCAATCGATGTTTCTCTCTCCCCCTTCCTCTCTACCTAAAAATCAATAAAAAACATATCCTCACGTCAGGATTTTGAAAAAAGAAGAAAATAATTGTCAATCTAGAATTCTATGTTTAGTAGAAAAAAAATCTTTCTAGAAAGTGGTCAAATTAAAGATATTTCACCCAGGCAAAAAATGTGTTAAGTGTTTGATACCAACAGGCATCCACTAAAGTAAATTCTCATGATGAACTTTATGCAAAGGAAAGAGATTCTAAGTGGAAGATTTTAAAGGGAAGAAATCATAATCAAAGAAAGTGATAAATATATAATGAAATGCAAATTAATATGGAATATATAGAATTAAATAATGCTGGAGTTAAAACACAAATATGCACACCCTAGCCAGTGTGGCTCAGCTGGCTAGAATGTCGTCCTGCACACCAAAAGGTGTCAGGTTTGATTATGGTCAGGGCACATACTCAGGTTGCAGGCACTTACAGGAAGCAACCGATAATGTTTCTCTCTCACATTGATGTTTCTCTCTCTCTCTCCCCCTCCTTTCCTCTCTCTCTAAAATAAATGAAAACATGTCCTCTAGGTGAAGATTAAAAAAACAAAACAAAAAACCTCAAAGCACAAATTTGCAAAATAGAACTAAATTATTTGATGATAAAATATATAAGTTGTAGGGCAAAATTAGAGTAATAGGTTTCAAGATCCTTGTACTGTCTAGAAAAAGGGTAAAAATAATAACTTTAAGCCTTGGAAAGTGAAGCATGTATGTTAAAATTCATACAGTAATAAAAGAAACAGAGTATACCTTTCAAACCACATGATGGGGAGGAGGAGGATAAAGAATAAAAAGCCATTAATTAAAAAGAAAGTAAAAAATATGAGAATGAAAAAAATATAAAAAAGAAAAACTAAAAGAACAAAATAAGAGAGTAACAATAAATTTAAATATATCAGTAATTAAAATAAATATTCTAGTTAAAAGACAAAGATTTTAAAAAATCCAATCATATTTATAAGAGACATATATATCTAATTATATAAAAATGGTTGAAAATAGAGACCTTAAAAAAAGATACGTGAGGCTAATTCTAATAAAAAGAAAGTGATATAAATGTACTGGTAGTAGATAAAACAGCTGTTAAGCAAAAATAATTTCTACAGATGACAAAGGCCATAAATAGAAGGTTTAATTCACTAGCATATAAAATTATAAACATGTATGTACTTAATTACATAGCTTCAAAATATGCAAAGATAAATGCATGAAACTATAAAGAAAAACGTAGACAAATCACCATCAGAGTATAAAATTTTAACACACCCCTCTCTACAACTGTGACATCAAGCTGACCAAAAATCTTCAGTGAGGATATAGAAAAGTTAACAAACAAGTTAACAAACACAATAATAAGCTTGATATAAGAGACTTTAATGATCACTGAACTCATGAGAAAAGAATACATTGTTTACAAGCACACAAGACATTTATGAGAACTGATTACATACTGAACTATACATTTTAATAAATTTTAAATAATTACTACCGTACAGACTATATATATTCTCTGACCAAAAAAATCACATTAGAAACTTGTAAGAAAAAAGAACTAGAAAAATCTAAAATGTAGATTTTAGACACTGGTAAATGACTCATAAGTCAAAGAAGGTATTAACATGAAAATCAGAAAATACTTAGAAGTAAACAATAACAAAAATGCTATACATCAAAATTTGTAGAATGTAGCTAAAACATTAAGAGGTAAATTAATAGCCTCAAAAATGCTTATATGAGAAAAATGTGAGGCTAAAATTAATTAGCTAGAAAAAGAAGCACCAAATAAAATTAAGAAAAGCAGAAAGAAAATAAAAAGCAAAAATTAAGAGAAAAATAAACAGAAAACAGAAAATTTAAAAAGCCGAAAGTTTATTCTTTGAAAAGATGAAATTGACATTCTGCTGGCAAGAATCATCAAAAAAAAAGCAAATAAGGAATAAATGCTTATGGAAATGAAGAGGGGGAATATAAATATAAATGCTTCAGAGAGTTAAGAGTACAACAGGATGTAATGAACTTTATGTTATATCTAAAAACAATTGCAATAAATAAATTCATAGAAAAATAAACTTATTCAAAGTGACTCAAGAACTAGAAAGCTTAAATAATTCTATAAGCTTTAAATTTTGTCATTTGTAAAATATCTTTGCCTTCCCGTTTGTCATATATCTGTCAACACAAACCCTAAACTTGGCAACTAGAAACACTGCCAAAGCTGGACAAAATGTTACCGGTTTGTTCTTTCGGTTGACAAAGCTACTGCTGTCTCATGCTTTGTTTTACATATTAATAAACGTGTAGGAGATGAAGACTGGCTTTGCCTAGAGAGCTCCCCGGCATGTGAAGGCAGTATGGCATAGAATAAAGAGCAATGACATGGGAACCAGACCTGGGAGTATTAGTCCTGGATCTACCACTTACTTGCTTTGAGATTTTCAGCTACAAAACTCAGTGTTCACCTGGAAAAGTTAAGTATCTTTGCTATTAAAAGTAAATGATCAGTTTTCATAGGTTTATTTTCCACAAAATGTCTATATAATTGAGAATGTGCACTTTGGATTTCTAGCTATCTTTATGTGAAATAGCTTTCATTCTTTTCATTTCCCTCTTCTTCTTTATTTATTCCCCATATAATATGTGCCTTAAGCAACTTTAATTTCAGAATGCCTTAGAGGACAAAACTAAACCCCTAAAGGAAGGATAAAGGCAATTGAAACATCGCTTCTTGTCTGACCAGGCATGGCTCAGCAGTTGAGCATTGACCTAGAATCCAGGAGATCACGGTTCGATTCCTGGTCAGGGCACATGCCTGGGTTGCAGGCTCGATCCCCAGTCGGGGGGGCTTGCAGGAGGCAGCCAATTAAAGACTCATCACTGATGTTTCAACTTTCTCTCTCCCTTTCCTTTCCTGAGATCAATAAAGATATATTTAAAAACAAAAACTTTAAAAACCACATTGCTTCTTATATTTATAAACCACTTCATTGATCAGAGAAAGATGAAATAATTCATATTTAAGTAATAATAATAATTTATTAATCAAGTAATAGGAAGAAAAGTTTCAAACCACAAAGTGAGTAAAAAAATTATTCTGATAACAAGTATGAGGGGGTAGTTATTAAACAAAAAACATCAAAAACTAAAAAATATAATAGGAAATACTAAAGGACTAGAAGTAGTCAGTTTTAAAAACTAAATATGAACTTCAAAAAACATTTTCATCTAGAATAATAAATTTTAAAAAGCTGAAAGTCAATACGGTACATTCAATATTAAAGACAAAAGTCTGTATTACAAATTAAAAAATACTAAGAGGTACTTTACCTGACGAAATATCTCTGTGACAAAGTTTACATTACTTCTTTTAGAAGAAAAAACTCTGCGAACTATTTCAATGTCTGTGAGATGTTCTTCATCAATACTACAGAGACTGGATGAGCTAGGTTCTCGCTCTGTCAGAGTGCTTGTATTAGAATGAGACTGTTCTGGTTCTGTAGTTCTATCAGTTTTATCAGTATTATCATTTTTGTTTTCTTCTCTGGATACCAAACTAGCTGCTGCTCTCTAAAATAAAAACAAAATGAGGAGGATATCATAATCATAACAAGGTATTTTGTCTTCTAATAACAAATACTGGCAGAATCCAAAGAATTCATTCTAAATAGTTAAATGGCAATGCAAAAAATTCAACATCTAAGTGATACAGTGATACTCACTAGTCATCTACTCATCTATAATAGGATTTATTTTTCAGTATGTTTGCGGTACAAATAAGTTACTAATTAAAGCTGGGCAAAAAAAAAAAAAAATAATGCAGATGGAGTTAGCTCAGAACTGCAATAATAAATAAATAATGTAACACTGGATTATTTGTTCAATAAAGCCTTAACGTCTAAAATCATCTCTAGACAAAAATTACGTAAGTAAAATATTTTTAAACAAAAAACAAAGAAATGGAAAAAAATTTATGACAGAAGTAGAAATGAAGCCAAAAAGTTTTTTAGAAAACTCTATTCTAATAACTTAATAGAATTTTCACCATGAATGAAGATGAAAAAGTAAAAGTGCTAAGGTGATGATAAAGAGATGACTATCATGGTATAATAGGAGAAGCACTATTCTGTGAGTATCATAGTAAATTACTTTCTGATAAGTTACTCAACTTTTGGTTTCGTTTTGCCATCCATATAAAATAAGAAGGTAAATGATCCTAAATATGTCCCCAATAAAAAACTCTACGATTTAGTCCATTAAGTTCTGGGATAAAAAAACAGTTCTACTTGAGAGTTTCTACATTTAATAATTCTTTGTAATGAACTTGGAACAAAGTTTTGGGGAAAACACACACATAGCTACATATAAATAGAAGGCTAAGGGGAAGTAAGTCAAATTTTCTAAATGCTAATAAACTAATAAATACATTATAACTCCATTTAATTTTTTAAAAACTTAAGAAGTCATACAAAACGCACACACAGTATAAGATTTTTAAAACTAAATGAGAAAATCTGAGGAAAGAAAAATAAAATAGTAAGAAAAAATACTCAATATGGACAGGTTCTGAAAAAATGCACACTGAGGGAAAAATAAAAAGTGAAGAAAAAAGGAAAACTNAAAAAATGCACACTGAGGGAAAAATAAAAAGTGAAGAAGAAAGGAAAACTTTAATTAAAAGTAACAGGTTTTTAAATATTAGCTCCTCCTTTATAGAACTGTATAATTTTACATAATATTTCTGGACACTGTATTTGTTGAAAAAAAAAATGAATGAAATGGTGACAGAACTTTAAATCAGCATTCTATGAATGCCTAGAAATCTAAAAAGAACTATGAAGGTCCTACAACCATTTGATTACAAAATGTTTCAAAATGCAAGAATTTGTAAAATTCAGAACTTTTTTATTCATACAATTCAGGATATTTTTAGTACTATAAAATTAGCATAAACTACAGAAATAAATTAAAAGCTGAGACTCAGCCCTGGGTGGTGTGGCTCTGTTGGACTATCATCCCATACACCAAAAGGTGGCAAATTCGATTCTCCATCAGGGCACATACACAGGTTTTGGGTTCAATCACCAGTCTGGATACGTGCAGGAGGCAACCAATCGATGTTTCTCTCTTACACTGATGTTTCTGTATTTCTCCCTTCCTCTCTCTAAAATCAATAAAAATTGTAAAAAAAAAAACTGAGACTCAGATATGACTGGAGTTATCTCCTATACCTTCCAAGTTTTATGTTTTGCTAAGAAAACTATTAGTTCTACAATTACTGTTAAAATTTGAATTTATAAAACATATTTATACAAAGTAAATATTACTATTATTTGATTTAAATGTGTTCTACACCTAAGGCAAATCAGTGGACAAAATCTCTTAAACCATTTCTTACTCTATCGAGTTATGTGCGTATTACCTGAATATTCTTTGGCAAGACTTCACCTTCCATCCCAGGAATATGAGGTCCTGTATGTGGCTTTGGCTCAAGCCAGAAAGAAACCAGCCAACGCATGACAATAACACGAGCCTTAATGAAAGGCTCTTTTGTACAATATATTGCTTCATTGGTTTCAGCATCCTTCTTTATCATGACATAATGTGGCTTTGGTCTCATCTGTGGGATATCTACGCAAAATAAAGAGAAAAAACACACCACAAAATAAAAAAGGAAGTGTGTTTAGCTAAATCTACATTTTTAAACATTTGTAAAACTGTGTGATGATACCCTGGTTTTAGAAGTAGATTTAGTACAAAAATGACATTTTAAAATAATTTGCTAAATATCAGCAAAATCTAGAAGAGCAAACCACATATAGCTGATATATAAAAACACACCCTTTTAAAAAATATTAAAAGGTTCATGAATTCTAAGGACAGAGAAGCTTCGGAGCCATTTAAAATTAGTAAGAGCTCAATTAACCTAAGATTGAGGCACATATTTTGAAGTTACACAAAACATGAGAAGTTTTCCTTGGTTTTTAAAGCAAATAATGTTCCTAGCAGCAAAGGCTTGCTACTCTAATTTAAGTCATTTCTACTAGCCCTAATGGTTTTGCCTATACCTGTTAGATGCCTAAACTTGGCAGAGCTTAAAACAGAAACATCTTTCTGCAAAAAAGACATTTTCACATACAGACTACCAATGACTTCTATATACAGCAGAGGTCTGCTTCTAACCCAGGATTTGTCCACAAGGCTCTAGCTTCAAGGCTCCAACAGACATCTTGGCACTGCTACTAAATACTGGCCAAAACATGATCAAAATATCTGACAATGTAATTACTCACATGGAATTTGAATAAGATATATTAAATTGAACTCCTGGAGGAGTCTTAAAAAGGAAATTTATAATATAGTGAGATCTATCTCATCCAATAGGTGAGATCCAGAGAATAAGCTTTTAAAAAGATCTCTTCACTCACAATGAAAATTTCCTATTAATAAAATTCCACTTTCGGCATAATCAACTTCTCTAATCAATCTATACAAATATTAAATGTTATCAGTTTTCTGCAGGTAACAAATCTCAACTTTACACTGAGGTATGTTTTATTCTTATGCATGATCTTTTAGAAAATTCCAAAGACTACCTACCAAGTACAGGATGATATAAACTGTTCTCCTTGCACATGTTTGGAAAAATATAAGGCAAGTAGTATTTCTTAAAATGTGAAAACAAAAATGAAAATCCCCTTTCTTGGTTTTCTTTGTTCTTCCATTCTAAACTTTTTACCTAAAATACACAATACAATTAGAATCATTCCAGGAAAAAGAAATAATTATTATCTATAATAAACAAGTTTATAAACAGTTACTTAAGCAATATATTAAACTGCTACACTGTGAAGATATATATATGTATATATATTCACATACATAAATATATAAAGAACAAATTTTAAAAACTGGTCTAATGACACACAAATACATTTTATTACAAAAATCTTAGAAGTTAAAATGTACTCTGGAGTCCACAGGCATGGCTCAGTGGCTGAGCATTGACCTATGAACCAAGAAGTCAAGGTTCAATTCCCAGTCAGGTCACATGCCTCGGTTTCGAGCTAAATCCCCATTAGGGGATTTAAAACAAACCCTATGCTCTGGAAAACTCTAAAAATTGATTTAAAGCTCAGTTCTACTAATGACAAAGATACTAATGTTCTTTCCCCTTTGCCTCTTCTAGAATAATTCAGTCTAAAAGTTACAAAAAATATGTGAGGGGGGAGGGGGAGTAAAAGCAGTGGCTGTCAAGTGAAAGTAATCAGAGCCTGACCACAGGAAGTAGGGCATCTATAATGGGGGTGTGGCAGGGGCAGCAGTAGCCTAGTGGGGACTGAGAGTCTGAGAGAGGTGAGGGCAGTGTCCATGAAGTGGGGGGATGGCGGTTAGGGAGGGAACAGGAGGAAACAGAGCAGTAAAATATACTAAGTGAGAATTCCATCAAGGGCACATGCCCAGGTAGTGGGTTTGATCCCCAGTTGGGGGATGCAGGAGGCAGCCGATCAATGACGACCCTCTCATCATTGATGTTTCTGTCTCTCTCTCTCTCTCCTCCCTTCCTCTCTCTGAAATCAATAAAGATATATTAAAAAAAAAAAGTCAATACATACCTACTTTTCAACCCAGCCATTCCACTACTAGGTATTTGCTCAAGGAAAAGGAAAGTTTATGTCCACACAAAAACTTGTTTACCAATATTCACAGTAGTTTTATTTGTAATAGCCAAAAACTGGCAACAACTCACATTACCATCAATAGGTGAATGGATAACAAATTATGGTATATCACTAAAATGGAAAGCTACTCAGTAATAAAATGGACCAAACTACTGACACATACAACAATATGAATACTGTTCAAAATAATTATGCTAAAAAAAGCCAGACCAAAAGAAAACATGTACCATATAATTCCATTTATAAGAAATACGGAAAAATACAAACTATAGAGACAAAAATCAGATCAATGGCTGCTTGGGGATGTAGTGGAAGAGGATGGATTACAAAGGGATCTGAGAACTTTTAATTGTGATAGGCAGGCTCATTATCTCGATTGTGGTGATGGTTTCATGGGTGTATACATGAAATAAAATTAATTAGATCATATATTTCAAAAATTGCAGTTTATTGTATGTTAATTATATCTCAATAAACCAGTAAAGCAATTTTAAAAATCTATATGAAGTACAAAAGTATTTTTTAAAGAAAAACATAATACTAATGATGGTAAAAACTACCCACTATAAAACATTCACTGTCGTGTACTTTTTATTTTAAGTTCTTTGCACTAATTATTTAAGCCTCAAACACCAAAATGGGATAGGTATGATTTTTATCTCTGTTTTAAACACAAAGAAGTAATCTGCCAAAGGTCACACTATGGCAAGATGTAGAAACAGGATTCAAACCCTGCAAACTCATTCAGGGTCCTCATAACATTTGTTTCTGAGTCACAGATAATTTTTGTGTTTGGAACAGTTACAAGAAATGTGTATAACACTGTTTCCATCTGTCAGGACATGCTCATTTCATGTCTATAGATGAATATGTTACTTTACAAAATACATGCACCTGAAAATTTTAAAAATACAAATAGGTTTAAGAGTAAATTACATTTCCCCACCCCTACCCCATCCTCAGTTCACCTCTCTAGTTGCTGCCTCTTGGCAGACTGATCCTTAATCAAAGATATTTGATTTTCATTTAAAGTACCACAGCTGCTAATTATAAATTAGAAAGTAAACCCCAAGTTGACTCACATAAGAAGGTATATACATAAAGAGTCTACTTTAAAAATTTCTCCTTCTAACTTCCTTTCTAAGAGGTTCATAATGTCTCCAATAATTTTTATTTCAGAAAAGCCATACTAACATATTTTCAAAGGTAAAAATTTGTCATTCCTTCTTTAGGATAATAAGCAAATATCTACTATGTCAAAATAATGGTAAAAGAGGGGGGGATTACCCACACAGGATAGTAAAGGGGGTGATATCAATGAAGATAACATGTACCTGAATTACTATATATTTTAAAAGTGCTTCAAGAAAATAGCTTGTGAGATCTTCTTGTCCTTTATCTCCTGATTGTGGGGGAACAAGAGGAGTAATTTCCTCTATAGTAACTTGAGCTATCCAAAGACAAAAGAAAAGTTGAGAATAATTACAAAACAAATATAACAATGCAATAATATAACCCAAACAAAATTTAACTGCAAAACATATATGCAATACTGCTTGAAAACACTCTAATGATTGAACCCTGAAATAAATCTGAGGTCATTCTGATAGTCCATCACAATAATCATAAGCTTTAATAATCAGCTGTTTCATGAACCCCTGGTTGAGGGAATGTGGCACAGGACTGGACAGGCAGATATGGAGGAATTAAGAGTAAATAACATCTCACTTGGGAAAGAACTTCTCACAATATTTTTAAATTCACATTAAGAGCATCTAGACCATGCTTACTATGTAAGGTAGCCCCTTTATTCAAAGCATGAAATACTATTTCCCTCTCAAAAAGAAAGGAAAGTTAACATCTTAGTTCCTTGATTGCAAAAGTGCACTTATAAGAAACTTTTATATATTTTTACTTCTCAGATGTTCAAAAACATTCATTATAACAAATGCAAATTCAAGAAAAATCAACCCACAACTAGCTGAACTCTCTCCAATGTTTCATAAACAGCACAATTAGTACCTGGTTTAGCACAGGCAGATCTCTAAACCTATTTCTCAGTAACTATCAGCTAAGTAATCAAGCTCACAGAAATGGACAGAAATGGATTATTTTTAACAATTTTCTTTGCACAAAGTGAAACACACTTGTGCTTTAATGCACATCCGAATTAACTCAAGGATACAAGATGATATGTGAGAATCAGAAATCAGAGATAAATGTAAACAGCCTGTATTAATTATGTATTTCTGATGCTTTGACAGAATGTCCCTTCCACAACTACCTAATTCTCAGAGAGAGTAAAGATAGGCCTGACAAGTGTGCCTTTTATATGCAAAACAACCAACCATGAGTTCACACCTCTACCACTTCCTCTACTGGGCTCACACTCAGGGCCACTATTCCTCTGACCTAATCACCCTAGGTCCAAGTACCAGACAACTAGGGAGAGCCCTTATACCCCAGAGCCTGCTGAAATTATCTAAACTAGCCAATTCCAGGCCTGTTTACCCTGCGTGGAACATTCTTGCCTGCAGCAACCACAATAAGAGCTCTTGCCCATGCTCCTCACTTTCCCCTCCCCCTCCCCTAGCCCACCTGACTGACCCTGGTGCTTCCCAGTATGGCCACCCACCCTGGTGTGGCATGCCCTCTCCTCTTGGGAACTTTGAAAAACAAAATACTTTTTTAATGGCAACTGTCTTCTGATCTGTTACTGGCCACATCATACCTGAATAACGAAGCCTATGTTTTAAAATATGGTCTTGTAATTACTCAGTTAATATATGTATAGACATTTTTAAAATATATATTATCAAACTACACAGAAAAATTTTTAATTCTAATGTTTAAGATATCATGAATCTTACTTTCTTGAAGGTTGAGTGGAGGATTAATGAGATTATCTAAAGTTCTCGGTCCATATTCAGATTGTGGCGCTGAAAATCCAGGGATTAAGCATGAAAACATCCAGAGCTGTTCTTTGCTACAGTTATTCTGAAGGGCTTGCAACCATAATAAGAAAAGACGAACACCTTCCCGCCTGATCTAAAATAAAAAGAAAAACAGTATTTTTATTTTTCATGGAAATACTTTCTTTTTTTAAGGGCAAAATCCTCTAGAAAAGGATCATAAAATGATACTTTTACTTTGCAAAAGAGAGGAAGGAAGAAAAGAGGTAAAAGGAGAAAGGAAGGGATGGTGGACAGTATACCAATGACATCCATTAAACCTTCATTGCCCGGCCAGGTGTGGCGCAATGGTTGAGCATATACCTAGGATCCAGGCGATTGGGGTTCGATTCCTGGTCAGGGCACATGCCCGGGTTGTGGGCTCGATCAATGACTCTCTCATCACTGATGTTTCTATCTCTCTCTCTCCCTTTCCCTTCCTCTCTCTGAAATCAATAAAGATATATTTAAAAAAAAAAATTTAAAAAAAAAGATATATGAAGTTTTATTTCTTTGTACTGCTATACCCACGCCCTGATGCCAAAAGTACCTATAATGACTTTTATCTAACTTACAGCAAGATGCTTTGGACTGGGTAGCTTCTCACCAGAGAACAATGACAATGAAAAAGAAAAAAAATTTTGTATATATATCCCCTACTTTCCTCTACAACTAAGAATAGCTGTGAAAAATTAAGAATAATCTGCTGCATGACTGACTATCTTTTGTCTTCTGGAGACCACAGAGTAAAGTATTTCTGGTGGATGAGTCAATGTAGTGGCAAAAGTACCATAGTTTTTCTTTCTTTTTTTTTTATAATAGTTTTTCAATAGCCTGGTGAACCTAGTATGTATCTCCATACTGAGTATATGTTGCTATATTTTAAGTGAATTCAGTTCAATTAAGTGAACTAAAGACAATTCAAAATTCTTTAGGAAAAAGTTGATGTAGGAAAATAAATATATGCTTTACTTCATTTTTAAAAAGTCATAGAAAACAAATATAATAATATACCTTCAAGGAGTTTCCTGTGTGAAGTAGTTTCTTTAAAATCAATCCTAAAAAGAAAAAAAATATTTTAAATATTCACATCTTGTTTTATTCTAAATGTCAGAGTTCTCGGTCAGACTTGAAAACACTTTAAAACAAGTCCTTGGCAACCTCCAAATTATTCTTGGTGACCTTGCTATCCTTCTGGTCATAATCTTAAGACCAGAAGGGTATATAAAAAGTCACCTTTTCAACACATGGATTATTGCAATTAAACATGATGTAGTCTATTGAAACAAACTCCAAACCCCAAAATTGTATTTAAAACAACAGTCTATGTATATCTCTTATTTAGACTGAGAATATAATGAAATATTTCTCTATTACTAATTCAAATAAAAAACCACTACAGAAAATTACCATTTAGTTAAGCGCATAAGCACCTACAACTCTAATATTTTCTAACAAATATTTCCCTTGAGTAAGTTTTTTCAAAATATTCAAAACCTTATTTTTTCTTTTAAATTACACAATGTTTCAAAACTACAACAAAATACTGAAATAACATTAACAAACATCCAGAGGGCCACCATTTGTCTGAACAAATGTAAACACAGTCCCATATTTCTTATAATTTCAAACTTTAACTTATTCACATTATCTATAATGCTTTACCTAACGTTATTGAAGACTCCTGTGAACCCATCCTGAATCATTTTCCAAGAGGAACCATTATCCAGATTTTGGTATTAATTATTTCCAAAAATATTTCATATTATCACTATTTATAAATCCATAAAATATATAGAATTGTTTTATCTGTTTAAAAACTTATACCAGTAACAAGAATTTATTCCATAGCTATTTGTTCTAATCCTGCATTTTTTATTCTTTCTAGTAACATTATTATATAAATGATCAAGCCTGTGACTTTATTTGGTTTGAGTTTCATTTGTCATACAAAAATAATGTTCAATGTTTCAACAAACTGTGTTGATTTATCTGCAATTCCCTTCCTTATGTTTGAGCAAATTCTTAAAGCAATACTATGTAAACCCCAGTCATCAGCTCTCATAAAAATCTATTAATGCAGTGTGGTATCATGTATTGGATCCTGGAACAGAAAAAGAACATAAAAGAAGAACATAAGTGGAAAACTAATCAAATCTGAGTAAGTTCGAGGTTTAATTAACAGTAAAAACAAAACAAAATTTTATATATATGGTATCATACAAAACAAGTCATTCTGTAAGTTGCTTTTCACATCCAACATTACCTTCTGAAATTTATATTGATGTATGTAGCTCTAGTTAATTCATTTTAACTGCTGTATTATTCTATTCCATTGTATGAATATACCATTCATCTTCTTAATGTTAAGACATTTTGGCTTTAAAAATTTTGCCATTCCCAAGAATATTATAGTAAATGTTCTTGATTCCTGTATGCCTGAGTTTCTCCAGGATATATAAATAGAAACAAAACTACTCACTTTCAACTTTACTAAATACTGAAAAATTCTTCCCAAAGTAGTTGTGAAAATTAGCAGTCCTACTAGCAGTGTCTGAGAGTGCCGTGGTAACACATTCTTGGCAACACAAAAAACTGGCAAATGTTCTATTACCACCAGTCTGATGAGTGTTAAATATCTTAACAATATTTTCATTGGATGTCTCCTAGTGACATTGAGCATCTTTTCATTTGGCCATTCAACTTTCTGCAAATGGCCTGAAACATCCTTTGCATATTTTTCAGTTGGGTTATTTTGTTTTGTTTAACACGAGAGCTCCTTACACATATTGACTACTAATTCTATATCAATTCTAGGAATTGGAAATATATTCTCCCAAATAACTCAGCCATGTTTTTGACTGAGGGAGTGGTACCTTCTGATGTACAAAAGTTTTACATCTCAATATAGTCAGTTCAACATAGTTTTTTTGTTTATTTTTTAATTCTCACCCAAGGATATTTTTCCCATTGCTTTTCAGAGAGAGTGCAGGAAGGGAGGGGGAGAGAGAGAGAGAAACATCGATGTGCAAGAGATACATCAATTGGTTGCTTCCCCCATGCACGCTGACCTGGCCAGGGATAAAGCCTGCAACCGAGGTATGTGCCCTTGACCGGAATTGAACTCGGGACACTTCAGTCTTTGGGCTGATGCTCTAACCACTGAGCCAAAACTGGCTAGGGCCAACATATTTTTCTTTTTACATGTACTTACTGTGTCTAATTAAACACCACCCACCTTAAAGTTATAAAGATAAACCGAAAAGTCTCTTCAAAAAATTAAAAATGGAACTGCCATTTGACCCAGTGATCCCACTTCTAGGGATATAACCTAAGAATCCTGAAACACCAACCAGACAGAATATATGCACCCCTATGTTCATAGCAGTGTTGTTTATAATAGCTAAGATCTGGAAACAGCCCAAGTGCCCATCAGTAGATGAGTGGATAAAAAAGCTGTGGCACATTTACACCATGGAATATTATGCAGGTGCAAAAAAGATCTATTACCCTTTGCTACAGCATGTATGGACCTGGAGATTACTGTGTTAAATGAAATAAGCCAACCAGAGAAAGACAGATATCACATGATCTCACTTATATGTGGAATCCAATGAACAAAATAAACTGACGAATAAAATAGAACCAGTGGTATAGGAACATGGAACAGATTGGGGGGAAAAGAAGAGACATTTGTAATACTCTCAACAATAAAGATTTAAAAAACAAGTATTAAAGTGTTCTTTTCAAATTTAGGTCCTAAAATTTATTTCTGTGTATGGCAATGGAATTTTTTTCCCTCCAGATGGATAACCAATTACAGTACTAATTCTTTCAGGGTTTATAATGAAATGAAATGCTATGGCAATCATATTTCAAGTTTCCATATATAAGCCTAGGTCTTTGGTGGGACTCAATGTCCTTTACCATTTGTCTACTTGTCCATCCCTACACCAATGATAGTGTCTTAATTAGAACTTTATAATACATCTTGTTATTGGATACAGAAATATCCAACAACACCATCCTTCTCCTATTTGCTATTCTAAGTTGCTTTGACTTTAATTTTCCACATAAATTTTAGGATAAACTTCTCAGACTACATTTAAAAATCTCTACAGGAATTCTGAATGAGAATTGCTATCTTTACACTATCCAGGCCATCATCCATGAATACTGCATAAGATTCCATTTACTCAAGTCCTTTCTTAGTCTTCAATAATCATACCACTGCCATACACTGATGTAACATTTTAAATGACTACAGAATACACATTCTCAAACACAATGCAACATTCTCCAGGAGAGACTACATATTCTGAGCCACAAAATATCTCAAAAAATTTTAAAGCATCAGTATTATATAAAGTGTATTCTTTAACCACAAAGACGTTAGAAATCACAGAGAAAAACATCTGTAGTAACATCAAATATTTGAAAAGTTAAAAAGGAAAAGCACTCTTAAGTAAGCCATATGGGTGAAAGAAACCAAAAGGGATATTAGAAAGTATTTTCAACGGAATGAAAATCAACTAGAGTACCTGATATATTTTCCTTTATATATAAGACAAAAAAGAAACAAGAGTTTTTGGATTCTTCTGAGTGACAAAGAAAAATAACCACATATGTTTATTCTCCAGTTAGACATTTATTGGAATATTATTAATCATGATAACTAGACAGCCTAAAGGTCCTATGGGGATCTAAGGCTACGTTCCTCAGGAGAGACAGTAAACTTCTGAAGTTCAGATGTCTCAAAAAGTTGCTTCACAAACAACCTTTAAGGATATTTTTATGATTATGAAATACCAAAGAGGATTTCACTATTCTATTGAGCACCTTATTAGCAATTGAATGTCTTCTTCAGTGTAATGCCTATTCAAGTATTTTGCCTATTTTAAAAATTTGACCTGTCTTATTATTGAGTTGTAAGAATTCTTTATAAATTACGGGTAAATCATTTTTAGTCTCAAACTTTTTTCTAAAAAGTTTATTGTAAGGCTTTACTATTTTGGACTTTTAGCCCCTGTATCAATACCCCTTCTGTATGTCCAGAGTTCTTTTTTCCTGGAATTGCTGATTGGGATGGCCTACAATTTCAAAGTCTCAGAGGTTTCATTTGCTATAACTGATTAAGAAATGTAGGACTTAAATAAATCTATGACTTATTTTTAAGAGAAACAAACACAATTTTTTACAAATGAACTTAAGGGTTATAACATTCTACTTGAACAATGTAGATCTGGTGGCTGTCCATATATTCCCCATGAGAGAAGGGTCATGAGAATCGCTAGCAGTCTGTCCTGACATCATTGAGGCAGTGAACCAAAGCCAGCAATTGCCTACCTGCAAAGTCCTTTAGAAGATAAAGGGGGGAAATGTCTTATTATGACACCTTGAGAGCACTGTGGTGATACTGCAATTGTTACAGAACCAAACTCAAAGTCAGCAAGCATCTTGGTTTAGTACCTGGTAACAGAAAGTCTGTCACCTCCTGCCTGCTTGGTCTCCACAGCAGGGTCCCCTCCCCCCAGCCCTGCTTTTTCTTTTCAGCTTTGTTTCATAATCTGAAAAGCTCTATTTTGACCCTTCAAGCAGTAAGCTTAACTCTAGTTCTCCCCCTTTTTGTGTGGGACAAACTACCAGCTGACACTGCTTGCTTTCAAACCTGGAGCCCATTGTTTGTGCTTTACTTGGCACTTTGTATTACTTTTCTACTCCTGATTCACAAAGATATTTATTTTGATGCTGAGCTTGCATTTATTTTTTTGGTTTTATAATATTACCATCATTGCCAATGTATTCAGAGTACAAAAACAAGTGAAACAAAGAAGTTTAATGTACCATTTTGACAGGAAATCCTTCATCTATGTTTTTATCTTATATTCCCAGTAAGTCTAGTCCTGTATTATTTTGTTTTTACTAAAGCATAAACTATGAATTCATTTCAAATAATGACCAACCCACTGAAGAGCATTTTCTTATATTATTATTTATTTCAATGTGAAATACACATTTAAATTACTTACCAATACTATGAAACTGCCATCGCTGATGAATTCTTTCTGGAAGAAGTTGTAAAATTTTCTAAAAATCAATACAAATAAAACAACAACAAAAAAATGAAAAGCAAGGAATGAATCAATATTCTGTGCAATTAAAGAGCTTACACTAAAGCTTTAAGACTTTCTTATGTAAAAGATTATATTACAAATAACAAGTTAGTCTTTGAACTAAGCTGAAAATACTGGCACAATTTCCACACTGACATATAATCAAACAGTTGAAAACCCCTCAAAACAACAAACTAAACTAACAAAGGCTTAAAACAGTAAATTAATGAAATTTAACTTTTACAATGATGTGGAAAGTAGGTATATTTCTCCACAGTAATTAAATTCTAACTCTAATATATTTCAAAATGCTTATTTACTATTCTTAGAATTTCTGCATGGTGGATATTACTGATGTTTTAAATTCTTTCAGCTATTAAGATTTGTGACATTTTCTTTCAAGTAATTCTCCTGTTTTGATAAATCATGAGGAAATATTTTTATTTCACAAAAATCCAATGAAATATTTGTACTGGGTTAATTCAAGTGAACCCAAAGGCACTTATATGTTATGTTATGATAACTATAGGATGGAGAAAAAAATTTTTTAATTCAGGAGACCTATATAGTTAACCTAGTATATACAGGTTTCTATTAACTGGAAATAAACACTTTTTACATATAATATTTTCAAAATTCTGCCTATTGCATATGTGTGGATTATTCTAGATCCACAGCTGCTTTGTGTACTATGCTGCTAAACTAAGCTCTTAGTATTTCACTTACTGAATGACATCTGTATCTGATGTTATTGCTGCTCTTACTATTGTTATTTAGAAACACCATTAAATGGATGTTCATAAAGGCTAAATATTAAACTAGACACTTTATATAATGGTATCTTATTAATCCCTGCAACCATCCTAAGAAGAGAGTTTATTAATCTCATTTGACAAATGAGAAAATGGGTTAAGTAATATGCTTGAGTTAGAAAATAAAAGAACAGAGATTCCAACCTTGATATGCATATTTCTAAAATTTGTGCTTTTATACTATTCTGCTCAAAGGACAGTATGCATGTTTTATGCTTCTCTAATATGGCCTTCTTTAGTCCATCTCATACAAGAGGATGATGAAGAAATTACAAAGTTCTTCACATATCAGTGCTGGTCTTGCATGAGATATATAAACTTCTTTACCTTTGCCCTTTTCATATTTCTCCCATAGTTGTCAACAATTGTATAATTATATTTATTTTGGTGTGGAAAGAGATAAAATTATAGAAAGCCGAAAAGACGAGTTTGTGACTACTCAAAAGTATTCCTAAATTATGACTATGAAATTATAATTTAACCCCTTATAAAATGTAAATAAACATGTCTACATGCTTTTATGTGGTTAATATAAAAATGAATAAAATTGTGTGTACTCTTAACTGCACAGAAAATAGAAATCTTATACTATATTATCAATATGACGTAATGAAGCTTTTTATTCCAGAAAGAAGAGATCACTTAATGATTTCTTCATTTAAAAAAAAAATCATCATTAGTCTCTAAAGGTATGATATTTATTGTCTCCATTATAAGTAGAAAATATCAGCACACAAGTTATTTTTTCCCCAAAAGACAAAAACCCTGTATCTGATATCTTTTTTCCCTAATAAAATTTAGTGATCCATTAAAGACAAACATTACTGTTCAAACAACAACTAATCAGTATATAGAGTGTCCCCAAAAAATGTACACACACACTTCAAATAATTATAAAAGCAATGTTTATTAAAATACATTTCATTTTTAAAACTGAGCTATCAGCTGTTAGAATGTATATTCAATTTTTGGGACACCCTGTATATTTCATCTAGAAAAATAAATCTTATTTTTTAATAGAAAGAATACCCTGAAAGAGCTTCTATTAACGTATCAACCATTCCGTTATATTGTTTCCTGAATATAAAGCAGGAATGTCTGAAGGAACACTTTCTAGCAATTATCATCTTGCTTTCTCTGTGGCTATGTTTATTCTTTTCCAAAACATCTGTTTTAATATTTGCCTTGTAAACAATTCATGCAAACACTTGAGGAGGTAAATATGAGCAAATTCCTCAGGGTTAATGACTAATGAAATTAAATGCAGGACAAGTACCGACACCACAGTTACTTCCATCTGGAACTCTGGAAAAAAAAAAACCAACTTTCTTTTTCTAGCTGTGACTAAATCAATATAAATCAACAGCTAAGAGAGATATCAATCAGATTGCTCAAATTCTTCTAAACTATATCAAAATACAAAATAATGAATTATCTTTAATTCACTGCACACAGAACAGCTCAATCTTTACAGAGTGATTTCCAAATTCTTTACTAGTCCTTTCAAGTCACAAGGTCTAATATCCTGTCTTTCTCCAGATCTCTAAATTCTGGATAAAGATCAGAAAACTCCTATCATTGTATGATTTCAAAGACAGAATGAAGAACAAGGAGTTGTTTTAAAAGCAGGCACATGGGGGTACCCTAATTTTTACTGATGTGGTAAAAATAAAACACAAATTTTAGCAAAGTATCAATTGTTGTTGTTTCCTTTTGTCTACTTAGCAATAAAGACTTGTCCCACCAATACAAAGTAATGTAGAACAACAATACAATTTATAAAATATTTAAAACTATTTTATACAAGTTTATAATGAAAAGCAGTTAAAGCAGAAACTATAAATTCCTCAGGTATATAACAGTTCCATAAAGTTATCCTCTCAGTTAAGAATATTTTGGAATTTAATAAAAGCCCTGGCAGGTGTGGTTCAGTTGGTTGAGCACTGTCCTGTACACGAAAGAACTGCTGGTTCAGTTCCTGGTCAGGGCACATACCTGGGTTGTGGACTCAATACCCCGATAGGGGGGCATGTAGGAGGCAGCTGATCGATGTTTTGCTCACTCTCTCTCCCTCTCCCTCTAATATCAATAAAAATGTATTTTTAAAAAAATCTCCATTTGTGTAAACCTCCCTCAAATTAAATTTTTCATTGTTTGCAAACACATTATATACAGTAGCACTTTTCTAAGATCAAATTTACCTATATCTAAAAAATAATACATGTACCTCAAAAAATAATTAAGTCAGGTATATTTTCAAGTTAAAAAACATGAATCAATTTTTAAAAAGCACAGCAGATTCACAGTGTTTTATTACATATTTTATAATTCAATATATTCCTTTGAATGTTCCAGGAACTATTTTTGGAAAAAAGTAAGTTAGACTAGCAGTTCTTACCTCAAAAATAAAAAGTATAGCATCCAATTCCTCCCTTTGAGACTTGTGACCTAAAACATTTTTACAGAAAAATATTTTAAACATAATTTTATCTTCAGTGTTAACAACCACTTACATAGCCTAAAATATTTATTGCACTAAAGTTTTTTCTCAGTGACTTTTTAATAAAATGTTTAAAATATATTCTTTCAATGTGAACACAGTGTAACAGCATCTCTCTCTACTCTTTTTCAACAATTAAATTTAGATTCTATATATTTATGTCTAAAAACAAATCATAATATATTGTAGAAAAGTTTAAATGAACTCTGAAAATGAAAATATGAAAATGACTGCTAAAACCTGATACATGCCTCTAGGGCAGAGAAAAGAAGGTGAGGAAACAAGTAAATAATACCAGGAAAAAAGCAAAACTCCTAAGCCTTCTCAAAGTAAAAAGAATAGTACTACTAACCTTGCACGTTACCATAGTTGTGCAAGGGGTATTAAAAGCTGTCTGCCAAAAAAAATAGTGAAATAATACTAAAATGCCAATGTTCAAGAGTCTATTTTTAAGCGAAAGTATATGACAATTATTTGAAACATCAACATAAACCAGAATCAATTTTAAACATCTTACCTTTCTGTTTAAGACTAGCTTCAATAGTCACAAAATTCTCAAAGAACACATAATAGATATGTGAAAAATGCTGGTCAAAAAACTGTTTAAGATCGATAGACTCTGCATTCTCTGAAAAATAAATGAAAACTGTTTTAGTGATTACTATTTACACATATGTTAAATTATGTTCAGCAGATATGATAGTGACAAAAAAAGTCAAAGAACTGCTTCTAAAATTGTATTCTATTAAAATATTTGAGACATGTATTTATCTATTCCTTGTCCTCACAGCTTTAGTTTTTAAAGATTTTAGCTTTAATTTTATAAACTGATCTAGTCATCATAATCTGTTTCCTAAAAGAAAACAATGTCTCAGAGAGACTTGTTCAAAATCATTAACCAAACCAAAAAAAGTTCTATTTTCAATTCACAGATATGCCTCTAACTTCTCCCTCAGTTTAAAATCAGTATTTCCATGTGTAAAATCATATCTAAAATACATGTATTCAATAAATAAGTACCTAACAACAGGCTTTATAAATAAGCACTTTAAGGATTACAAAGATCAAATACAGGTAACAGTGCTCTAAAAGAACTGTCAGTGTAGTCCAGGGCACACAAAACTAAACAAACAAGGGTGGGAAAAAGTAGGCTTACAGTTGTATGTGAAAGTTCGTTCTTGTATTGTTATTAATTATTGTCTACTGTTTTGCTCTACTCTCTGCCAAAGGAAGGGATAGATGTACTCTATTCTCTATTCTCTTGGATTCCCTACATTTCTCTCTTATAGAAACAACAATATTTCAAGTGTTCTCATCTTTTTTCCTAGGACTAGTCTATAGCATCTTTAAAATAGAAACTGCCCTAGCTGGTTTTGCTCAGTTAAAGCACTGGCCCGCGGACTGGAGGGTCCTGGTTCCATTGCCGCCAAGGGCACGTACCTTGACTGCAGACTCGATCCCCATCCCAGTCGAGATGTGTGCAACCAATCAATGTATCTCTCTCACACTGATCTCTCTCCCTCTCCCCCCCTTCCCCCTCCTCCCTCTCTCTCTTCCATGCTCTCTGAAAAGCAATGGAAAAAATATCTTCAGGTGAGGATTAAAATAAATAAATAAACTAGAAACTGTGCCTATTTTAGTATTGCCAAAACCTAGCACAGAGCTGAGCACATATGTACTCAGTGTGTTTTATTAATAAAATAAATTATTATAATTTTATTATATTCATTTTGTAGCTTAGAAATTTTTACCTTAAAAAGGCTGCATAACCTACTGACAGGAAAAATAGCATTACTTCATCCTGACTAGATTTAAAATACCCAGATTCCACTCCTTTCTGTCACACTACCTGTGTGACTTTTCACAAAACTAGGGGAAAAAGAGAAAAGAATAACACAAACTGAATGTTTCCTATATGCTAGACATTCTTCTAAGTGTGTTACAGAAATCTGCTTTATAGATGAGAAAACAGGCACAGAGTTAAATAATTTAGCTAGTGAGAAGCAGAGTCAGGGATCTGAACCCCATAGAGCCTTGATCTAGTGACCTCTATGTTTTTGACCTTCTGGTAATACATTTATAAGAAAAATAGTGATAGAACATAAGGAATTTATCTATTATCTGCCTATAACAACATAAGAATAATAGTCATCACACACTAAACATGCTGTTAGGCTATCAAAATAAAAACACCACAACTAAGACAAACAGGAAAAGTATTCTATTTTTGAAACAGAGTAGTTTAAAGTAACAAAGAACTATGGAGTTAGAATGAAATAGGCTGATATAATTATCTTTAAATTTCCTAAAATTCATGTTTCAAACATAACTAATGTACTAAGGGAGAGAAACAAATGAGAACAATAACAAAGCAAAATAAAAAAATCAAACAAAACAAAAGCAGACAATCAATGCAAGATTTTGCAACATAATTTAGGGTACAAAATAGTCTATCTCAATTTCCTTCCATATAGCAAATTAACAAAGCCTGGAAACTACATATATGCTAATAAAAACTACTGCATCAAAATTAGGCTAAGTGGTTTTGTTGATATGTATCTGTAATAAGCTAGTTAGCAAATAAAGATTCTTGTAAAATATTTTGATCAATACACAAAATTTATGTGTTAGGGAAAGGAACACAAAAAATATGAAAAAAATATGGTAAGAGGATTTCACTTATTTAAAAACAACTCTCTATAAAACGCTAAGAAAGGAAAATGAAAAGGAAAAAATTAGGAGACTATAAAAAAACTACAAATTTTATTTATTTTTTATCTTTTTATGCTTTATCTTTATTCTTGAAAGTATTACAGATGTCCTTCCCCCACGCATTGATCCCCTCCAACCTGCACCCCCCCCCCACCTCCAGGCCTTCACCCTACTATTGTCAGTGACCATGGGTTATGTATACATGCACATAGGGCTTAGGTTAATCTCTCCCCACCCACCTCTGCCTTTCCTCTGAGATTCGTGTCTGTTCTATGCTTCTATGTCTCTAGATCTATTTTGTTCATCAGTTTATTTAGTTCATTAGATTCCATACATGAGTAAGATCATGTGGTATCTGTCTTTCATTTATTTTGCTTAGCATAATATACTCTCTAGGTCTCACCATGCTGTCTCAAAGAGCAGGGGATCTATCTGTTTTAGAGCTGCATAATATTCCACAATATAAATGTCAGAAAAGATGCTTGATATGATTTCAATCTTCTTGAGCTTGTAGAGACTTGTTTTGCATCCTAACATGTGGTCTATCTTTGAGAATGACCCATGTGCACTTGAGAAGAATGTATATTCTACAGCTTTGGGGTGAAATGTTCTGTAAATATCAATTAAACCCATCTGATCTAGTTTGTCATTTAGAGTCACTGTCTCCTTGTTGATTTTTTGTCTGGACTATCTATTCAGTAAAGTCAGTGGAGTGTTAAAGTCTCTTACTATGACTGTATTGCTGTCAATGTCTCCCTTAAAGTCCCCCAGAAGTTGTTTTTTTTCCAGACTGTGTGTCTTCTGTTCTGAAGTGGCTCTCTTGTAGACAGCACATACTTGGGTCTTGTTATCTTATTCATTCAGCTACCCTATGTCTTTTGGTTGAAACATTTAACCCACTTACATTAAAGGTTATCATCGAAAGGTAGTTATCTATTGCCATTTTAATTCTGTATTTTATATATATATTTAAATATATCTTTATTGAATCCAGAGAGGGAAAGGGAGAAGAAGAGAGAGAGAGAAACATCAATGACCAGAGAGTCATTGATCGGCTGCCTGCTGCACCCCCTTGCTAGGGATTGAGCCCACAACCTGGGCATGAGCCCTGACTGGAAATCGAACCACTATCTCCTGGATCATAGGTCAATGTTCAACCACTGAGCCATACTGGCTAGATGCCATTTTAATTCTTTATGCCTATGTTTCACTCTCTATTTCTACTTATTACAGCAGTCCCTTTAGCATTTTCTGCAATGCTGGTTTGGTGGTGATAAACTCCTTTAGCTTTAGCCCTTTTTAGTCTAGGAAACTATTTCACCATCTATTTTGATTGACAGCCTTGCTGGAATAGAGTAGTCTTGGTTTCAGATCCTTCCTTTTCGTTGCCTTGAATACTTCATGCCATTCCCTTCTGGCCTGTAAAGCTTCTGATGAATAATCAGCTGACAGCCTTACGCGAGTTCCACTGCAGGTAAGAGAATGTTTTTCTCTTGCTGCCTTTAAGAGTCTCTGTCTTGAATTTTTGGCATTTTAATTATGATGTGTCTGGGTGTGGGTCTTTTTGTGTTCTTCTTGCTTAGGACTCTCTGGGCCTCCTGAACTTGTGTGACTTTTTCCTTCACCAGGTTAGGGAAGTTTTCTGCCCTTATTTTTTGAAGCAGGTTCTCTGATCCTTGCTTACTTTCTAGACCTTCTGGAACTCCGATGATGCGAACATTATTACATTTCATGTTGTCCCACAGCTCCCTTAAGCTGTTCTCGTGTATTATAATGGTTTTTCTTTTTGCATCTCTGATTGAGTGATTTTTGCTACCCTGTCTTCTAATTCGCTAATCTGTTCCTCAGCTTCCCCTGACCTGCTGCTCATTCCTTCCAATGTTTTTTAATTTCTACTCTGTCATTCTTAATTTCCTTCATAGTTTCCATATCTTTTCTCATGCTGATGAACATCCTTATGATCAGTATTCTGAACTCTGTATCTGACAAATTGCTTATCTCCATTTGATTTATTTCTTCTGGAGACTTCTCTTGTTTTGTCATTTGGGGCTTGTTTTTTTGTCTCCCCGTTCTGGCTGCCTGTTTGGGTTGTTTTTATGTATTAGGTAGATTTGCTAGGATTCCCAGTGTTTTGGATGGTCTCTGGTGCAGGTCAATGTCAGGCACTGTTTGTGACTGACCTTGAGAACCCTGTTTGAAGCTTTCTGCAACCCAAAGTTTGTCTCTCTGTTTGCTGAGGCTGGGTGCATTTTGGAAAGAGCCAAGATGTGCACCAAGGTCTGCGTTTCCAAGCCCTGGGCCCAGAAGCAGATCAGGCAAAGACTCAAAGCACCCAGAGGCTGATTGTTACTTACAGTCTCTTAATGAGCCTCAGGCTGCAGACCAGAACAAGGCATAAACTCCACAAGGTGGGGGAGAGGTTTTCCAACAGGGTGGGGCAACTGCTTCACTCCCCAGGCTATATCTGCTAGGATGGTAATTCCTCTGCCATAAAGGGGAATGACTCAGCACAGGAATTCAGATGGATGCCTTTTGAGCTCTATCTCCAGAGCCCGCATGCCTGTATTCTCCTCACACAGCACTAGTCCACTCTGCCCTCTCTCCACTGGAGCCCAAGGTGATTGGCTGCACAGGAAACTTTGTGTGTTGGCCCTTTAAAAGGGTGTCTTCATTTCTAGCCATCTCTCCCTGGCAGACAGAAACTCTGCTGCTTTTCACAGCCAGATGTTATATGGGCACCTTTCTCAGTTCTAGTGCTCTGGGCTGGGAAGCCCAGCTTGAGGTTTAGGCCCCAGAGTTCTCAGTAGGAACCCCCCCACAGCTGAGATAGCCCTCCTGACCTTCCGCTGCTACTTGTGGGAGCCCAGCCAGCTCTCTTACACATGTGCACTTCCTACCAGTCTCTATGCCATCTTC